ACTTTGCAAGAGGGAGCCCACACAGGAGGGAGCCCTGGGAAGGAGTGGAGCCTGAGAGGGTCCCAAGTAAGTGAAGGAGTCCCGAGAGAAGAGGAGCCCCAGCAGGAGGAGCCCCACACAGGAGGGAGTCCTGGGAAGGAGGGAGTCCTGTGCAGGAGGGAGTCCTGGGAAGGAGGGGGCCCTGTGCAGGAGGGAGTCCTGGGAAGGAGGGGGCCCTGGGAAGGAGGGAGTCCTGAGAAGGAGGGAGGCCTGTGCAGGAAGAAGTTCTGAGAAGGAGGGAGCCCTGTGCAGGAGGGAGCCCCACACAGGAGGGAGTCCTGGGAAGGAGTCCTGTGCAGGAGGGAGTCCTGGGAAGGAGGGGCCCCGCAGGAGGAGCCCCGTGGGAAATGAGGGGGCACCAAGCAAGTGCGAGGGGAGCAGGAAGGAGGGGGCCCTGTGCAGGAGGGAGTCCTGGGAAGGAGGGGGCCCTGGGAAGGAGGGAGTCCTGAGAAGGAGCCTGAGCCCACTGTGGAGCACTAAGCAGTATGTGCACAGGGTGACCCTCTGGAAGATGGGGCAAGATGACAAGGGAGCCGAACGATTCTCAGAGCTCACGCAGGCCAAAGATGTCCAGGTCAGGCCAGCTGTTTGCGGCACTCTCGCTGAACACTGAGACTTCGAGCAGATGTCAGAAAGGTCACCTAACAGTGGAAGCTACTCTAAACTCACCCTAAGAAGCTTAAAAACAAACCTGGAAAAGATCAACTAAATCTGCACCTGACTTCCCTGCCTCCCAGGACAAAGCACACGTCTTTTTGCAGATGACAAAACACAGACTTTCAAAAACACTAAACCCACAATGTCTGTCCTCTAATCAAAAATTACCAAACATGTGACAAAACAGGCACGTGTGACCCAGAACCAAGAGAAAACAGAAATACAAACAGACCCTGAGATTACAGAGATGATAGAGAACCTTAAAACAGCTATTATAAATGTGCTTGAGAATCTAAAGTAAAACTTCAACATAGCAAATAAAGAAAACGACATTAAAAAAGAACCAAACGCAAATTCTGGAGAAAAAAAACTATGATGCTGGAAAGCTTTCCGCTGGAAAGCATCAACTGCAAACTAAAAAGTACAGAAGAGAAGATATATGGACTTAAGAAAATAACAGCAGGAATTTCAACGTTAAGCAAAAAGAGAGAAAAGACTGAAAAGCAAAAAGAAGTCCTTTGTGACCTCTTTGGCGATAGCAAATAATATGTGGAATCGCAGTCCCAGAAGTGGAGAGGGGAGAGCGGAAAACTGAAGAACTATTTGAACAAGTAAGGACCAAAATATTCCCAAACTGGTGAAAACGACAAACCAACAAGGTCGAGTCCCAAGCAAGATAAACATAAAAGAAAACCATGTGAAGGCCTATCAGGGTCAAACAGCTGGAAACCAGGGATAAAATCTTAAACTCAACTGGAGAAGAACATGTACTTAGGTACAGAGGAGCAAAGATGAAAATTATAATAATGATTATTTATTCTTGAGAGAGAGAGAGAGAGAGAGAAGAGAGGGAGAGGATCTCAAGCAGGCTCTGAGCTGTCAGCACAGAGCCTAGTGTGGGGTTTGAACCCAAAAGTCTTGAGGTCATGACCTGAGCCGAAGTGGAATGCTTAACTGACTGAGCCACCCAGATGCCCCAAAGATAAAAACTATTATAAACTTCACGTCCCTAGCACGTTGGAAGGGCATCTCTGAAGTGCTAAATGGGAAAAACATCTGTCAACCTTGAACTTTATACTGTAAACATACTGCACATCCAGAAAAAAAATAACCTTTAAAAATGAAAATGAAGATCACACAACTAAAGCTGAGAATATCTGTAGCTGGTAGTCCTGAGTAACAGGTACGTCTTTGGCTTCCAGGAGGTTCCTGACATGGAAGGGCGCGGAAGGGCGATTTCACGTAGACGGTGGGTTTCCCCGAGGGGACTCCTGTCAAACCCCACTGCGGGAAAGGGGCGGGGGAGGAGAGAACCGGGGACAGGAGAGGGGGTGGTGGAAGGATCCGGTCTCCAAGGGCGCGTCAGGTGTGCCAGGCAAACAACTCTCTACTTCCGTTCCTTACTCGTTCTGAACTACTTCCCCACAAACTTCCCATTTACTTCTTGAAGAACAGAGGCCATGGGGCCCCTGGGGGGCTCAGTTGGTTAAGCACCCGACTTCGGCTCAGGTCATGATTTCACGGTTTGTGGGTTTGAGCCCTGTGTTCGAGTAGAGCCTGGAGCCTGCTTCGATTCTGTGTCTCCCTCTCTCTCTGCCCCTCCCTCACTCACACTCTGTGTCTCTCTCTCAAAAATAAACATTAAAAAAAAAAACCACAAAAAAAAAAAGAACAGAGGTCACAGACGACCACAATGACCTAAAAGAGCCTATCCTCCTCCTGACATCAGTCTGGTGGGATGGTGTGACGTAAGCTCACCTTTAAGCCGCTAACTTAGCACAGACTGCCATGGATGTCACTTTGTAAAGAAACAAACTCAAAATCTTCTCAACTTTTACCCCACAGGAAGGCAATTTTTAATTAGGTACCAATAGGTGAGCAATTTGGAAAAACGTCAAACATTAGTGCTTTAGAAAGCTGATTGTGCATGAACAAGTCTGCGACAGTAACAGTGACGAAGGCGAAACTCAGTTACAGGTAAATCCGCGACATGGTTTTAAAAGCTTGGTGTGCGCAGAAAGTTAACAGAAAAGCCAATCTTTCGTCTTCTGGCAAATACACCAGCCCGTCCATTCAAGGTTAACCGTACGGTTTTCCTTCTCTGTTTTGGGAATGAAAGGTTCTTTGAAGGGTGATATACAAGCGAACACACATCTAGCACATTTGTTACGTGGGAGGGTCAAAGGTATTTTGGGAACTGTTCTTCGTTCAAATTTCAACTCACCACGAGGTTCCCAAAACAGCCACTGTGAACTGCAAGACGTTACGGAGGGACTCTTGCAGGAAATAAAGGAAGAAACACTGCCTCCTGCTTGTCCCCCCGTGTTCTGCCCGAGCAGTGGGAGCTCCCGAGTCCTTGCTGACTCGTGGCACGTTCTGGGTATTTCACGGTTAGCAGCGTGGAATTGGGGAGGGAAGTCACAGAAGCTTTAAAGCGGGGGAGGACCTATGCCAGGGTCTCGTAGGCGACTCAGTCCAGGTGCAACCAGCAGAGAGCTTCGGTGCTCGTGTTTCTTGAGTCAAGAACGACTGACATTTTGGGCAGGACTACCGTCACGGTCTGACGCTAACCAGCCTGCCCCGTGTTCAGCGTTTGTGGCCCCATCCATGAAACGTCACACGCTCACCCCAGGCCTCTTGCCAACCGGGAGAGAATTACAATCAGTGGGAGAAGCAAACTGCAAACCACAGACTCTCTGGAGAGGAAGCGCCGGGAGGCCGGTCCCACCGAGGTCCCGGGAACCGAGCAGCAGAGCACAGAGACCCCAGGAAGGGGGCAGGGAGGAGACAAGAGGCAGAACATGAAGGCCCCACCGCGGGTACAGCGGATGCACGCGGGGCCAGCGAAGGACCGTGTGGAAACGTCAACCTAATCCCACGGGTCCCAGTGTCCCCTGGACTCAGAGCCCGTAAGTGGGATGCGTTAGAAAGATCCCGCAAAGGCAAGCGCATGTTCAGTAGCTCAGCCTGAGCGGGTGGAGGGGACGCCTCGAACACCACCCCGTTGACAGCACGCGCGCGGCAAGTGTGGGTCTGGTGCCTGAAGAGCCGTCAAGACCATCACGCGAAGTGTCCAAAGCCTGTGGGCTCGCGCTTCTCGGGCCCTAGAAAATAACTAAGGGCTCCACGTCCCCAGTGGGACACTCGTCCCGGGCTCAGCAGCTCACCAAGGTTTACCAACATATACCAACACGCACCGGGCTTTCCGACCCAGCCGGGTGTGTGCAGCGGGGCTGCGGGAGACCGCCGGTCCCGCCTCCAGTTCTGGGAGGACACACGCGCAGGACACGCGGCTGCAGCCTGGCCGGGGCGGCGCCCCCCACGCACCGGGCCGGGCAACAGCTGACAACCCCCCTGCGATCTGCCCGATGTGCTGCAACCGCCAGCCGGCGACCTGACCGTACCAGTAGGTGTCGCGTGCGTGTCGTGCGTGTAAACGTTTTTACCGCACTGCGCACGCTTCAGGCCATCTTGTACTCAGGCTTTCAAATTTAAGAAGAATCTCATTAAAAATTCTGTTATCTCATCATTTCTATTTTATTTTATTTGTTTATTTTTCAAGTTTACTTATTTATTTAGGGAGAGTGCACACGCACACGTGCTTGGGAGTCTCTGCCTCGCTCCTTCCCTCCCTCTCTCTGCCCCTCCTCACTCACGCTCTCTCCCTCTCAAAATAAATAAACATGAAAAAAATAAGATCATGGAAAATGGAAATAATCTCATTGTCTTTGATTACCAGATTGAACTTTTCTATGTGACTGTTTATTCTCTAGGACGTTCAGACATTTTTGTGATTTTTTGTTTTGGGGGGGCCATTCATATTTTTCTTAATGAAATGTGTAAAACCTCTTTCTACATAAAGCACATTATTTGGTAAACAACAACAAAAAGGAATGGGGGCTTATTTGCTGAGGCTTAAATGTCACAAATAACGTGCTCACACAAGGCTCACAGCTATTTCTGAGAATTCTGATGTAACTATCTACCTTGCGGGCGTTCACTTCCAAGACTCTGATGAGTGCCTTAAACACATTTTATTAGGGAAATCAACGGAGTTCCAAACTGACTAGAGACATAACGCGGACTCTCAAAATGAGAACTTTAGGAATTGCTGGACAAGGCAGATTTTTCAGTCCTTGAAGGCGTTTTTACATGTGTGTATACACACATGCACACACACACACACACGTGAATGGGGGGTGAGTGAGAAGCCGGGGAAAACAGAACGAGATGGAAAGGAGCCGGATGTGGACACGGGCGACCTATTTCACTGGGAAGTGCCCTGCGAGGCGGCCCGCACCTACCTGGATGTTGTCGAACTTGAGGCCCGGCATGGTGAGGCTCTCCTTGTCTACGAACACCGTGCTGTACTGCTGGGTTGCCACTGAAATCAAGATGTCCCGGGTCCCCTCCCCGGGGAGCCAGGCATCGCTCCTGCGGTCCATCTCGCTCATGCTCAGGGCGGTGGCAAAGGGGTCCTCGCTCCCTGCAAACACGGCCTGGATCTGGGAAAACGGTTTTGGAGACTGAGGAATTTCTAGGGAAGCCGTGGGAACGGCGGACTCTGACTTTTCAATCCCCGGGGAGAGACAGGGCGCAGCAGAACCCGGGGATCTCTGTCCCACCGGAGTGGAGAGCGAAGACCGTTTCTCGGGAACGGAAGAGCCCGCGTTGGGGTTACTGACGGAGATGAAAGTGGACGTGGTGAAGGAATCAAAGAAGTCCGAGGCCAAGGAACTAGAGTTGCTGGGGTCACCAAAGAATTTACTGAGGCTGGGGCTTGGCTGGACCGCCTGGGGAGGGGTCTTGGCCACCGTGTCGCTGGCACCGCCACAGCTCGGAGACTTCACCATCTGGGACTGGAAGCCGTCCCGCAGCAGCAGGGGCGGCTGGGAGCGGGCGAACGACTGGCTGAAAATGGTGCACACGGGCACGGGCTCCTCCTCACGAGGGGACTGCCTGCAAGGCGGGCTGTGCCCCGGCCCCTCCGGGCCCGGGTCCTCGGCACCCTCTTCTCCCAAGGCGGGAGCACCTTTTACTTCTTCGAGCTCTGGGTCGGGGGTCGCGTCAGAGCCTTTAGATGCACGGTCTCCCCCGTCTCCGTCGCTTCCAGTGTCATTGCTCAGGGTGTCGACTGCTCCTTCACCCACCAGACTTTCCGGTCTGGGATCAGCGTGATCGTCTGCAGGCTCCACGACATCCTGCAAACAGCCCAGCTCACCTGTGTCGTCCTCGCTATTGTTAGGAGAGTCAGAAATGAGGACACTCTCCATCATGTGCTCATTAAGCTTATCTACAAAATGATTAGAATTTTCCGATATAGTCTCGTTCTCTTCAGACCCAAACTCGTCTCCACCGAGGTCGATGGTCTCCTCGTGATAAAGGAGCTGGCCCTGTTCTCCCTGCGGAGTGGTGCTCCCGGCTCGCCCATCGGCCGGGAGAGATTCCTCCGCCGCGCTCTGGCTGGCACCGTTAGCGTTCTCCATGGTCCTGAAGCCAAGACAGAAATGAACCAACCTCATCAGCTTTCCACCTCCGTCATTACCGAGCTGACTTAAACTTATAGACAAATGGTGGCCACATGACATCATACATTTGCCCAAACCCACGGAAGGCACACCGCCAACGGTGAACCCTAAGGTAAACCGTGGACTCTGGAGGATAATGATGTGTCCGTGCAGGTGTACCGCATGTAACTGTGGGGGAGACACAGGGCACACGGGAAACCTCTGAACCCCCGGCTCAATTTAGCAGCAAACCTCCAGCTGCTCCAAAAAATTAAGTCTGTTAGGAAATCTTTGTCAGTTACATATTCGAAAGACTCCATTTCTCCAGCCATCTATCAACTGACTGACTGATCACGGTAAAAGACACACCCCATCTATATTACTTACCGTCTTAACCATTTTTGAGTTTACAACTAAGTGGTGTCACGTGCATTCAGTGTGCAACCACCACCACCCATCCCCAGAACTCTTGTCATCTTGCAAACTGAAACAATGTTCCCATTAGGCACCACCTCCCGGGGCCCTCCTTCCCCACCCCCGCTGCCAGCTCGGATAACCGCCTTCTACTTCATGACTCCCTGGACTTCATTACTCTACGTACTTCACTTAAGTGGGACGCCATGGTACTTGTCCTCTTGTGACTGGCTTATTTCACACAGTGTAACGTCCGCAAGGTTCACCCAGGTGGTCGTATGTCAGAATTCCCTGATTATTTAAGGCTGAACAATACCCCACTGTGTCTACACATTTTTTTTTTTTATTTCAAATTTTTTTTTTTCAACATTTATTTATTTTTGGGACAGAGAGAGACAGAGCATGAACGGGGGAGGGGCAGAGAGAGAGGGAGACACAGAATCGGAAACAGGCTCCAGGCTCTGAGCCATCAGCCCAGAGCCTGACGCGGGGCTCGAACTCACGGACCGCGAGATCGTGACCTGGCCGAAGTCGGACGCTTAACCGACTGCGCCACCCAGGCGCCCCTCTACACATTTTTTTAATCCACTCATCCACTGATGAACACTTGGGTCACTTCCACACGCTGGCTACTGTGACTGCTGGTAGGAACATGTGTGTACAAACATCTCGGGGTCCCCGCTTTCAATTCTTTTGGGTATACACCCAGGAGCAGGATTGCTGAATCTTACGACAATTCTATTTTTAACTGTTGTTTGAACAGTCAACAAAGCGTTTTCCATAGTGGTTGCATTCTGTGAGACCGTGCATAAGGATTTCGATTTCTCAGCGTCCTTGACAACACCTGCTATTTTCTGACACTGGCCATCCTAATGGGGTGAGGTCTCCAGCTCTTTAAACCCTAAGTGTTCTTTAAGATTCAGTTGAAGACGTCCTCTTCCAACCTGTAATAATCTCTCCACATCCTCCCTGAGGCACGCTGACTGCTAGAGCTGATGGCAGCAAACTGGACCAGTTGCTAGCACACACTGGGCCCTCGGCACCGATCTAAGATTTGTGCATGTACATTCTTCCTGGATTCAGAACCACCCTGAGACCTACTCCATCGGGCAGATGAGGAGGCTGGCGCCTGCGGAGCTCATGCAGCTTGCTCAACGCTGTGCCGCTAGTAAGTTGAGAAACCAGGGCCAGTCGCAGCTGAAATGCTGTGTGGACACGGGACGGCAGAGGCCACAAAATGAAACGAAGAGTTTAACGTCTAAAGAAAATGCCTCCTTTTCTTAAAGGACTTTTTGAGCAAACGTTACCGATATAGTTCTATTCTTATAGGGAACAAATCCCAGTTAAGAAAGATGAGGGTTTTTCTAGGACAAAATAAAATGCCTTCTTGGTCTTCACAAAGCATGGTCTTTAGATGAGATGACTTTTTTTTTAAATTATTATTTAAAAAAAAAAATTTTTTTTAACGTTTATTTATTTTTGGGACAGAGAGACACAGAGCATGAACGGGGGAGGGGCAGAGAGAGAGGGAGACTCAGAATTGGAAGCAGGCTCCAGGCTCCGAGCCATCGGCCCAGAGCCCGACGCGGGGCCCGAACTCAGGAACCGTGAGATCGTGACCTGAGCCGAAGTCGGACGCTCAACTGACTGAGCCACCCAGGCGCCCCAAGATGAGATGACTTTTTGCCAACACTTTGACACTGCCCCAA